TCAAATAAACCTGTTGGACCATAACCTGGTGTCGTCTGATTTCTGACCTTGTCCACCCCAGTCCAAGACTGGCACCTCCACATCATGACCAAATTTTCGGGAAGACAGTTCCAAAGACTTATGACCTTTAGAGAAAACAAACATGCCTAATCTCTGTTTTAAATAGGTGACTCCTGATTTTTAAACTATAAATCCTAGTTCTAGAGTCTAGTAAGAGGGAACAAGACCCCTCAGAATCTTAAATGTTCCAATCAAAGCAGTTGTTACTCTTCTAAACTCTAGTGGATTTAAGCCTATCCCACCCAATATTTCCTCATAAGCTTATTTCAGGTAATGGTCTGGTAAACTTCTCTGAACTGCTTCCAATGTATTTACATCATTCCTCAAATAAGGTGACAAACACTATGTACAGTACTCTAGATTTAGTCCACCAGTGCCCTGTATATCTGAAGAAAGCTTCAAAGAAGCAAATTTTGGGTCATATCAGGTGGAGGTAAAACGTGATGAATTAATTTATAATATTTAAGCCATGTATTTGTGAAATGTAGCAAATCAGAATTTTATGCTTGAAATCACCTACAGGCTCCTATTGTAGTCTCCTATACTCAAGTCCAGACCATTTAAATGTATTGAAAATTGTAAATGGCCCCAAAGCGCACTCTGGAACATTATTTTGCATATTTCTTCAATTTGAACATGATATCTTACCCAAGTATGCATTCTCTTTTTATGACTGTGTACCTTATTTTCACCAATATGCCTTATGTGCAGCACTTCAGGAAAATTTATATGCATATTATCCAATAAAGAATACTCCTTCACTTGTGAAAGTTTCTTCCTTGAATCTCTTTGCCATTTACAAATTCTTTAACCTATCATATTAGCATAATCCATGTTTATGAACTATGGGCGCATTGCTGCCTGTGTTCCTAGAAATTTCAAAATCTTAACATGTTGCGATATATTTGCATATAACAAGTGACAGATGAAGCATGGGAAAATTTGTGGTATCTCTGTTTTCTGACTGCACTTGAAGAAGGACAGTACAGAAACTGAGTGTTGAGAACCCATAGAGGAAACAGGGCATTAGAAGGTAAGAACCCTAGTCTCCATTTAAGTATTTGTTTAAAACTTTGATTTTTTTTGCTTACTTTACAAAATCAAAGCATGTGCTGAAGAATAATTTTATGTCATTGACGGCCATATTTAAAATCTTATCATTAAAACATCATTGAAATGTGTCTATTTGATTGTTTCAAGACATTGCACAAGAACAGTTGGAACCAGAGACCCAGAAGAATTCTTCATCTTTTGCCACACACCATTCCATAATCCTCCAAAGCATTAGTTCAGGGAATCTTGGCAGTGAGGATGAGGCAAGTTGACTGGTTGATGCATTTTGTGCAAATGTATGCAGCAGTGAACAATGGTCAAAGACTATGAGTTGAAACCTGGGGCAGGATTTTCGTTCTGAGAGCTAATCTCAGGAACACCTCTGTGCCAGATGTAGAGAAGTGATGTGATTTTGGAAGCAATGATAACTAATTAACCTAATGTTGACATCACAATCCAATTAAGGATGGTGAGTATGGGGAGGAGAGAGGCATTACACTTGGAGGGTCAGATTTAATAGGAAAATGATAACCATTGTGATAGCCATTGCATACAGAGGAGAGAATCAGGATTGCATTGGTGCAATACCTGTATCAGGGCAGCCCCAAGTTTCTCAGTTACTGCCTGTTAGATGCTCTTGCAAAGAAGAGAGGAAGGAGAAGCGTCTGGTTCCTTGAGAGTGGCAACAGAAAATCAGCGATAGAGACATAGATGCTGGAAGTAGCTCATACTGAGAGTTGTAAGGTTGCTGTGTGTTGAGTATTTTAAGTATTTCAATGACCTACTCAGGTCTGGCAAAATGAGTGCAATGTGGCACGTAGGTGTAAAGTTTTCAGGGCTGGAGTCACCAACGTACACTTGAACTGATCAGCCTGAGGGAACATAGTCCTCCCAAACATAGGGAAATTTGTGTCCAAGAGCATTTCAAAGACTTGTTTCAAGTGTATAACTCTAGGACTATTGTTGCAGATGCAGTACAGAAGAATGTAACATTTCACGTGGTTGTTCCTCTCAAAGTGCCAAGGGAAAGCAGTTTTATCTTCACTCTCTAACTTTGCAGGAGAGAAAAATGCATACTAGAGACAGTCTTGGTCATGTGATGTCCTACCATTCTATTCTTATGTCCATGCAGAATGCACGCCTCCAAAAGGGGAGTGAATCATCACACCAAGTAGTGGAGATTTAATACAGTCCAACATTGGGTGAAAATGATCTAAAATTCACTGAAAGGCATGGAGGGTATTTCTCCTTATGTTGATATTTCAACAGTAATATTATTATCCAACTCCGTAAAAGCATTTGTCAAGTGCAACAATAACTGGACAATGTCCAGGTGTCAGTTGACAAACGGCAAGAAATACTCACCAGGCAAATAACATAAATACAAGGCAATGACCATCTCCAATGATATAGAATCTAACCACTGCCCTTTGACATTCAATACTGTTACCATCACTGAATACCCCACTGTCAACATCCTGGGGTTACCATTGACTAGAAACTCAACTGGACTCGTCACATAAACACAGTGGCTGCAAGAGCAGCTCAGAGGCTAGAAACACTGCAGTGACTAACTCATCTCCTCACTCCCCAAAGCCTGTCCACCATCTATGAGGCACAAGTTAGGAGTGTGATGGAATACTCCAAACTCACCTGGATGAGTGCAGCTCCAACAGCATTCAAGAAGCTTGATATCATTCAGAGCAAAGCAGCCTGCGAAGTTGGCACCATATCCAGAAGCATCCACTCCTTCAACCACTATTGCTCAGGAGCGGCAATGATGCACTGCAGAAATTCACCAAAGATCTTTAGACAGCATCTTCCAAACCCATGACCACTAGAAAGTCAAGGGCAGCAGATACATGGGAACACCACCAGCTGCAAGTTCCCCTCCAAGCCACTCACAATTTTTCTGTCGCTGGGTCAAGATCCTTGAATTCCCTCCCTAAAGGTTTATAGGTCAACTTACAGCATGAGTACTGCAGCAGTTCAATAAGGCAGCTCACCGCCACCTTCTCAAGGGCAATTAGGAGATGGGCAATAAATGCTGGCCAGTCAGTAAAACCCACATTCCACATGTACATAAAGAAAAGGGAGAAGGGATGAAGCTTTGCATTATGCTGAGATACATTCCAGGCTGAATGAGAACAACATTTTGGAAAATATGTTAGAGTGGAATAACAGTATTTTAACTACAAGAAGCTGCATCACTTTGTATACCAGTGTTTAGCTAGGAAGAAGAAAAGCAAGTCTATAAGTATGGCTGTTACAGAGATGTCAGACAGTAATTCTGATAAATCACTTTCCACCATATAGTACATTGACATTGTCAGGTTTAAACGTCATAAATATTTTGTGACTGTTAGAACAGTGACAGTATGAAGCACCCTCAAATGAATATAAGGCACCACATAGAAACTGGTCCTCAAGCAACAAATAAGTCGAGCAGACCTAAGGATAGTAACCTAAAAATGAAGCCCTCAAAGATAAAGTTGAGGCTACATGATAGAATGATACTCATGCCAAGAAGTAGAGCTCAATGGAATGGAAGGAATGAAGATCTGGAGTTCCAGCTAGTAACCTTAAGAAAAATCCACTTCCCTCACCTGAAGCAAGTCCAAAGCTTGGAATTATACCACTACCCATGCCAGAAGCAATTTGCATAATTTCACAAGACAACAAGCCATTGTCTGCTGAATGGATTCTAGCAGTCTGCAAAGATATTCTTATATGTCTTGAATGTCTTCTTGATGCGCATCATTCCAAAGAAGATGACAGTGTAAGACTAATTTAGCATCTGCTGAGGATAGTTCCAGATGCCCTTAAGTGTAGTCTGACAAAGAACATAATGGAACTAACATTCCCATCAACCCAGAAGGTCCTAAAATTGGAAAGAAAGATAGGAAGTCCAAGGAATCATTCTTTGAGGAGCTGGAAGCTGATGGTAAGCAATTGAAAGTACAAGAGGAAGTCATCATAGAACAGCTGAGGAAAGGACTGTGATAAGAAAAAAAGAAAGGAACAAGAAAAAAATGCATTAAAGACATCTGTACACAGGCCATGTCCTGACAGCAAAGGGACTTCTCCTGGATGCTGATAAGGTCAGATCTGTCACAGAGAATTGAATTGAACTGAATTAGCTTTATTGTCACATGTACTCAAATCGCCATATTACGGCACCATCTTGGGTACAAAGGTACCTAGGTACAGATTCTGAAGAACAAATTCTTTGGAAAAAAATTGGAAAATTAAAGAAATAAAAAGTCCAGCATTACAGATCATAGGAAGAAATCAGAAAATTGAAAAAAAAGAAGTTCAGAATAACAGTCTTTCCAACCCAGTCCATGCCAGCACCTAGCCTCCAATAACTGAAAGAGAGAGACCTTCACCAACTTGCCACTGCCTGTGCCAGACACACCAAGGTAGGAATTGCCACACTTTAGGTGTCATGTCTTTGCCACTGAGTCCACCTCGCTGATGCCGCTGAACCCACACTCGCCCCCTCAACCAGGTGTCCGCAGCTCTGCTGCTGCCCTGCCGATAACCAGAAGTCCCCACACTGGGCCTACCGCGACCACAATCAGGATTCCCTGGCTCCGCTGCTGCCTCGATAACGTCAGGAATCCTCACTATGGCATACCACGCTGCTACTGCTACCATGCCAGCTCCAAGAGTCCCCACTGTGGGCCCACTGCAACCAGGACTCCCTGGCTCCACTGCCAGGCCAGGTCACCGCCACACCAATCGTCCTGCTTTGGCTGGAGATGTCGCCTTGCCAACGCCACCATCTTGAAGAGTCGGCTGCCTCCAGCACCACTGCCGCCACCCCGCCCCCGATCGCTGGAGGAACTATGCTCCTGCCGTCGCTAGCCCCAAACGCCATGGGGAGTCCTTGCTGCTGCTGCCTCCAATCACTGAAAGAAGCTGTATCCGCTGTTCCATGTGCGGCCCACTCTCACCTCCATGCCAATGCTGCAGAAAAGAAAAACAAAATAAAAGAAAAACAGCTGAAGCAAAAGAAGAAAGAAAGAAAGAAGATGGGAGCAGACGAGCACCGGGAAAGAGCCCACACATCGCCCTGCTACTCTGTCACCATCTTGAACCACAAGAGATGTAGTAATGTGAAAGCAATGCAATGATTGGTTAGATTTGTGTGCTGTTTAGCAAAATTCTTGCCTAATTTGTCATCGGAAAGTGCACATCTATGCAAGCCCACTGTTAACAATGTGTGGCAGTACTGGGCACAGATCAGAAAGCGGCAAATTAAAACACAATCACAAAAAAAATTGGCAACAACAACCCAGTGTGCTCTAGAAGTCATCAATCTAGCAGAGATATTGAATTTGAAAGACAAGGGTCTTGTTCTGAACAAGAACTTACCCTGGAACAACACTACCTGTGTAAGGACCATTAGTCCATAAACCAGCAGATACCAGACAAACTGTTAAGACCAATTCATATGCTTATACAAAAGACCTGAATACTGCAGAGGTAATGGATGAAATGTATGTGCAGAGACTGAAGAAAGTAGAACAGACCAAAATTATAAAATTGCTTTTCCATGCATCAGGCTTTTAAGTGCTTGGGCTCCTGCATCGAGGGTGTAGCTGATGCAATGGAGAATCACAAGTTACATTACTCTGAGTGGATGCAGGAACAGCATGCTTTAATGCGTGGAATGCATCACACTGCTTAAATATTATGTGATCTGTGACACTAATGTTGTAAAGACACATGCTGTAGATGCTAGATGTGTCCCAGCTGGTGGTTCCCTCCCGTGATCCAGAAATGCTGTCAAAGGGCTGTGGCAGATGTGATGATGTTGAGGCAGCCAGCCCTCATCAGCAATGCCATCATCATCCATTTCTTTGGCCATTTTGAATGAGTGACCATCTATACAGCAAGAGCCAGGTGCAGAGGCTGCCTCTGCATTGATATTGATGCAGCAGCCTCTGAAATTGCCTCCACTAGCATCTCCAAATGAGAATGACTGTCACTGCCATTTCAGTTACATGCACACACAAGTGAGCAGGTTGCCTCCAGCTCATTTCAGCCTCAGGGGAACACCCAGTAGGAGCAGTCACAACTGCAGTCCACCATATTAGTACCTACATTTTGTAGGCCACTAGAATGTTATTATTTTTTGTGTCAAGTACTTGAAATTAATACAATAAATATGACGTTGCTTGCACTGAGATTTGTGTGTTTCAAATCCTTGTGGCAAAAAGGCCATAAAGGGAAGTTGTTGAATGTTACAAAGGTCTGTTTTTAAAGAGTGTGGTCAGGGGAGATTTGGTGACACGGTTAGTGATGAAGGAATTTGTGCGTGTTGTGACTGCATTAGCTTATTTATCAGCTAACTGTCCTATAGGATGTGTAGCTCAGTTGAATTTGCTTGGATTAAAGTGGCACTTATGGGCCTGCCAACCTGACAAGTGCCTTGACTAATGGGATGAACATTGCAATGCATGGATACCATTCTCTGCTGCATTTTCTTCCTTTTCCATCCTCCGAGGAACTGCACTATTTCAGCACTTCTCCTGTTTCAATACTCACACATCTTGGAGGACCATGCTACTGAGAGTGCAAGAGACCCACTACATCAGCAAAACCCTTGAGATAATTTATGTAGCATGCCTTCTCACAGTCAAGGCATTAATACATAAAAGTCTGATAGCCTTCTCAATGATGGTTGTTGTAACCAGATCGTAGAGTGATGCAAAGGTGTCAGAAGTCATTTCTTCAATGGCTATCCTGTATTTCTTAGCAACTGTCCACTGATTTCCAGTGATTCAATGGCAAATGGCACTTGTGATTGCCTGAGGATGATGGTGACATGGCAGCTCTGGGATAGTGTGCACACACATATGTAAATCCCTTGGTCACAGATCAGCTGAACATTTAGGAAATGGAAGGCATTTTTATCGATGAATCTCCCTGTTCTGTCTGGCTCCTGACTCACTGACTTGATGGCTCCATAGGCACATTGATGATTGCCTGCACGAATCCAGAAGGAATCCATCAAAGGAGGAAAATCCTGCTGTCCTCTGTTGGGGTTGCCCCATTCAACGGTAACTATATGTGCTCCCTTGTCCTCTTCAATAGGGCAGCCTTGAATTGCATTATGAGATGTTACGCTGCTTCCCGAGTAATACCAGCAGGTTTTTACAGTCAATCCTTGGAATTATCTGGAGTTGAAGAAGGTTAAAGCCACTGTGACTTTCACAGCTACCAGCTGGGCATGAGCAGGAGGCCTTCAAGGTCTGAGGCCATAGTTAGCAAGAGCACACATGTCAGAAATCATATGCTTGGATAGCCCTAGTCTACTGTAGCTGTGACACTCCTAACAAATCAAAGAAGATTATTGTTTGGTCACACAACCTATGTCTCCTAACCACTTTTTCCTCACCTCTGCACTCCTTGTGCCCAGGGTCTGTACCATCGCTACGTATATCTAAATCTTGCTATCAGTTCCACTGTCAGGGCTTTCTGGACCTTGTGTGTCTTGGTGATTCTTCCAGTTGTATAACACCACCATGCCCAATCACTCGCAATCCAAATGCTCTAGAATCTCTTGCAATGACAACACTTTTTAGAGCCTTCAACATTTTACATTCCTATATGCATTTACTGCATTGTTGCATCCTCTCCATAGGGATAATTGAGACTGTGTGTCATTCTCATTCTTTCTTTCAAAAATTGTAAACTGACCCTTAACAAGTTGAGAAATTGTTTGCTTACATTAATCATCTGTTGTTAGTCATATTTGGTCAGGTGTGCCCTACTCTCCTATCTCATTACCAACATATTTGCCCATTGGCAGTTCCTCATGATACTGTCACAACACTTGGTGGTGTGGAATTGAGGCCCTGTCCACCCCCATTCCTGTTCACACTGCACTTTGAAAACACTGCTATCCTCCCTTAACAATTGGGCACAGGACCCAGGATTCAGGGAATTTGTTTAGAACAAGTAATATAAGATTACTGAAGCTGGTGGATACTCTGCTAAACACCTTTCACAGATGACAAAGCATCAGGACTGGATCTGATGCATCTGAGGATTTTGAAGGAAATGAGTGTGGAAATTGCAGGGGCACTGGCCACAAACTTTCTGTGTTCTCTAGAGTTGAGGAAGATGCCAGAAGGTTGGAAAATTGCAAACATTATGGACTTGTTCAAGAAAGTTTCTAAGGATAAACCCAGCAGTTACATAGCAGTAGTTTAACTTAAGTGGCAGGAACGCTTCTAGAAACAATGATTTGGATTGAATTAGTAGTCACATGATTAGGAAGAGTAAGCATGAATTTCTAAAGAAGAAATTATGTTTAACTAACTTGCTGGAGTTTTTTGAAGAGATAACAAAAAGATTTCATGAGGGTAACACTGTTAATGTATACAAAAACTTGCAGAAGTTATTTGATACAGTGCCACACAATAGATTTGTAAGGAAAGTTATAGGTCATGCAATAAAAGGATTATTAGCAACAAGGATGCAAAATTGGCTGAGTAATAGGAGACAGAGTGTAATGGTCAACAGATATTTTTCAGGCTGGAGGGAGGTTTATAGTGGAGTTCTCCAGGGTCTTTACTGGCATCCTTGCTTTTCCTGATATATTAAAGACCTGGATCTTGCTGTGCATCAGGCAATTTAAAAGTTTGCAGATGACACAAAACTTGGAAGAATTATAAACCATCAGGAGGACAGTGTAGAACTTCAGAAGGACATAGACACATCGATGAGTGGGCAGATAGGTGGCAGATAAGTCTTAAAGCAGAGAAGTGTGAGGTGATGCATTTTGATAGGAGGAACATTGAAAGACAATATAAAATAGGGGGTACAATTCCAAGAGGCGTTGAAAGAGTACAGCTCATTGCGGATGGCAGGATAAGTAGACAGAGCAATAAGTAAAGCAATCAGATCCTTGGTTTTATTAATAGGGCCAGAGAATACAAGAGCAAGGAGATGATGTTGAACCTGTACAAGACAATTTTAGACCTCAGCTAGAGTATTGTGTACTGTCTGGGTGCCAGATTATAGGAGCATTGGAAAGTGTGCAAAAGGGCTTGCAAGAATCGTTGCAGGAATCAGGAATATCAGTTATGAAGATAAATTGAAAAAAATAGGACAACTGTCCTGAACAGAAGAATGCGAAGAGGAGATCTGATAAAAATTTCAAAATCATGAGTGGGCCGGATAGAACAGATAGGGAAAAACTGTTCCTACTCATAAAATAAACAAGAATAAGAGGGCATCAATTTAAAGTGATCTACAAAAGAAACAACAGCGAAGTGAGGAAAATAGTTTTCACTCAGTAAGTAGTTAGAGAATGGAACACTTTGCCTGGAAGTGTGGTGGAGTCAGGTCCAATTCAAGAAGGCTTTGGATGATTATTTGGACAAAAATAATAGGCAAGAGTTTAGGATAGAGGAGATCAGCAACAAGTAATGATTATCATTTAATGAGCTAGTGCATACATTTTTGGCCAAATAGCATCCTTCTGCACCATAACAGCTCTGTGATGGCTTCAGTGTTTCATTGATTTTTATGCACACTGGTTAAAATGTGGTGCACTTTGGGAATTTTAAAAAAGTTATCTGCAGTAGTTTTGCATATAATCATCTCTTTACATCTTGCAGCAGCATCCTAAGAATGACAAACTAACAGAATGGTATCATCATTTAAACTAAGCTGCAGTGATGCTACCTTATTTCTTGTCAAGCAAGTTCAAAACTAGGGATTTTTTTGTTTATGCTGTGCCAGTGATTTACCAGTAGATGGCGTAAGCCACACTTATGAAAGGATTTTGTGTAATTGTTCAGTATATGTACAGGCCTTAGAAACTGGGCAGGCTGTTACCACAGGGTGAGTTACTTTTCTATTCCCCCAGTAAAATATTATTTTTTGGATTATATGCAAACAGGATTATAAAGCTTATCAATACCTTGCTACTACTGCCAGAATGTTGTGTATCCATGTGCCCGATGACTTTCAAAAATGTGTTATATTCCAGAAAATAAAATATCATTATGTATCTGCAAATAAATATCATGAAGTAACTGAAGCAACAGTCTAGTATTTAGCACACTGAAGTTATGTCCACATTGTTCGTTTATTCATTGCTCTGGGATATTACTATATACAAACTGACTTCCACACTTTCTTAATCATAACACTGAGTACACTTTAAAAGTACTGATTTAAATGTAGACTGCTTTGAGCTGTTCTGAATATCTGATAGATGACATGTAAATGCATCAATTTATGGTCAATGCAAAGAACAATGATGTTTCTTTTCAGCATTTCAATGTTGTCCATGTGCATTTTTCAAAGGCATCAAGAAATGTTGTCTCAATCACAACAAATACAGTTTTGCTGGGTGAACACTTTTGACTCAGGATGGATAAATTGACCAGAAAGGCAAATTTCAAGACTTAATGATGAATTCTACAGGGTATTACATGTTTTTGGTGGAGTGGGCAGCAATATTCACATTAAGTCTGTGCTTTATCTGAAGATCCCTACCAGAACCACTGTATAGCTCTAGTATATCCTATTTCTGGAATAATATTCTGTGTTAACTGAATGTACCACAAATTAGGTACATGAATTCCTTTTACTTGAAGATCTCTGGTGGTCGTATTGATAGCTAAAATAATACAAACAGTAATATTCAGTCACAGATTATGTCTGGAGTGATACAGAAGCGAAAGCCTGTGGCCTGCAGTCGTGTGACAACAATTGGCTACTTGGCTGATTTGCATTATGAACTCATAAATGGACATCATTCAAAACATGAAACTGTTACTAGTTAAGTTTTCCAACATTTGCAATGATTTTGCTGTTGTTGTAACAATATTTAAAGGGATAAATAGGCAGAGTACCGGTGTTGCCAAACTTACTCTCATAAACCATACCTTTTTCTAATTTCCTTTACTTCTATGCATTGTTTAAAAACTTGTTTTCTGCTGCTGTGGGTTTTTCATATCAGTTCCCTTGCTAATTTAACACAATTATCTATTTTCTTATCAATTTCCTTTTGGGATTGTACTAATTCTATGTTACTCAATTGTTGAAAGAGGGTGAAGAAGACAGAAGCAAAGTAATGCAGGAGGCAAATTGGATGAATCCAACAGTACCCTCACTTTAGAATACTTAGGCCACAATAGTTTGACTTTCGGCTGTTCCATGAAGTACAATGAATCAAGAATTGCGTTCATGTGGCTGCACATTAATTCTGTTTGCTCTTTAAACAGTAAAGGAATTCAGTTACTTAATGTCCAGGTTATCGATGACCCATGGCACATATTATGCGCATCATTGTTTTTAGATGCTGCTACAACCCTTTAATATTGGAGCAGAAGATAGGCAAAACTCTGGGCAAATGAAAGGAGATTAAGACTACTGTGAACTTTCCCAAACAGCAGTTGACCACCACTGCCACAAAGTCTGTCCTGGCATCACAGAGTGACCATTAGAATTTCAAAGGCATGCTTTAGGTGCCTAGATTGGATAGAACACCTAGCATGTAAAGTGGCTAGTGAATATAAAAATTATGGCTGTTGGAAATTGAATAAAAATATGAAATAACTAGGCAAAGTAGATAGAAGGACTTGTGGCAGGGATTAGCAGATGAGACTGTTAGGGAAGAAAAATTAATAGGAAAGGTACATGTTAATGCATAGTCAGAATTCATTAGCAACATTTGAAACACTGAGATTGTATGCAGAAGATAACTGAATATGGCATCATTAATTTACTACTGGCAAATCTTTGTGGAATTACAGATCTCCCTCTTTAGAATGCAATTAACAAGAATACATTCCAGAACATTTTTCGAGGCAGCTGGAGGCACCAGTCTCAAAATATGGTGACAGTTTGCAAGAAACAGCTTCACTCTTCTCTGCAGCACTCATTGGATTAATAGTGCCCATTTTAACAACTGGCAAGCAACAAATTGGGAGTGGACAGAAACTAGTTAAGTACTGTACCGGCTGGATCACCTATCCCTCAATGACTCCACTTGTTCCATAACACAAAGTATGCTCCTTATATGTTAAAACAATGGTATGTATAGAGTTTGCATAACTGCAATTTTGATTTACATTTTAATCTACCATTTCACAGAACCTTGTGGACATGACAGTAGGATTATTGTGCAAAGTCATGATCTGGCAACCAACAAAAGATGTTGGCACAAATTTCATTTGTCTACTCTTTATTTGTGCCAGAAAAATTGATAGGCAAACAAAGCTTTCTAACACAGGCCGTCTATTTCAAGGTCTGCTGGAAAATTAAGTCCACCCAAATACTAGCAAGCACTGGCCAGCCATTTTTTCAAAAAATGAAACAAAAAACTGCGTAAACTGGAGATCTGAAACATGCAATAATGGAAATTGCTGGAGAAACTCAATAGGTCTGGCAGCATTCGTGGAAGGTAAACAGAGTTAATGTTTCGAGTCCAGTGACCCTTCTTCCGAACTGGACTCTGGATTCTGTTCACTGGACTGGAGACATTAACTTTGTTTTCTCGCCACAGATGCTGCCAGGCCTGCTGAGTTTTTCCAGCAATTTCTGCACTTCTTTCTCCAGATCTCCAGCATCCAAAGTTTGTTGTTCTATTTTTCTAAAAACGTGGCCAGGCCACAGCTTGTCTAGGATTTGTGTGGACTTAATTTTCAAGCAGGCCTTGAAATGTATGGCATGTGTTCCTGCCTGAAACAAGTGGACAACTTATTTTACTATTTAGACTGTTTCCTTAGGTTCAATGGAGAAACTTAATGCAAATACCATGTCCCAATAGGTGAGGGATGTAAGCCACCTGCATCTCCTCTTGGTTCTTCACATGAAGCAGACTAACCAGTTGCTCTTGAAGGCAGCACCTACTACAGACCACTTCTAAACTCATTTTTTTTTCCTTTACGTTTTTGAAGCCAGAAAGAACAGTGCTGTTGCTCCTCATTCCACAAAATATTCCAGTCTTTTAAATTCACAATGTGTGCATCACTGGCTAGGACAGCATTCATTGCCTAGCCCTAATGGCCCAGAGGGCAGTTAAGAGTCAAGCACGTTGCTGTGGGTCTGGAGTCACATGTAGGCCAGACTAGGTAAGGATAGCAGATTTTCTTTCCGAAAGGACATCAATGAATCAGGTGGGTGTTTAACAATAATTGACAGCGGTTATATGGCCAGCCTTTTATTCCAGAGTGTTTTTCATTGAATTCAAATTTTTGTATCTGTCATGATGAGATTCAAACCCATGTCCCCAGAGCATTTGCCTAGTGTTCTGGATTGCAGGTCCATTTACATTACTACTACCACTACACTGCTTCTCCTGCCATTCCTGTGCGGGCTTAATGTAGGAATCAGCCAGATGCCTGCCTGCACTGACTGACTGGAATGCTGCCTTGGAATACTTGTTGAGCAGTGACAGCTCAATGACTGCATGTTGATGACAGCCACAAACAAAATTCTGCTGGTATCGTTTTTGTGCAATTGAGACCACTAAATAAAAATCACCCTTTTTTTCTGTTTGGACCTTCTCTTCGACCTTTGCTACTTACCGACACTGAGGACACATCGGGAAACTTTTTTCCAACTGTTTTTCTCACTTTTTGGGTTCTGTCTCCACCTATAGTGTACTCTCACCACCATGCCCCTCCCCCACCTCCCAAAACCCCATCTTCAGTATAAAAAACATCGTTTTCCTAGCTACCATCAGTTTTGAAGAAGGGTCTCTGGATCCAAAATGTCAACTCTGGCTTCTCTCCATAGATGCTGACAGGCCTGCTGAGATTTTCCAGCAATATCTGTTCCATGGTTCTTTCGTTTTTCTTGTTGTAAATTTGATGCTTCTGTGCCTGATGTAACAAAGAACTTTCACCAGATGCACCAGTGACAGCCACTGGATTATTGATCCTACAATGTGCGTGGAATAGGCAACATTCAAAGCACAGAATAAAAAGTAAGAAAAAATGAACTATTCTTCCCAAACCAACATTTTCAGTATTGAAAATATTAAATTATGAATCAAAAATACAGCTCATTGATCAGCCATACCTGTCTGTGAAATTGATCTTTTTACGTAACTGGTGGTACTATTACGCTTGCTTGCAATCATGAAAGGATCTGGCAGTGAATCTGTAAAAGGAAGTTGCTTGTTTTTATTATTGTAAAGTCTATCATGGATTACTATAGGAAAAGTAAGAACAATGAATAAACTCTAACGTTGGCACAAAGAAGCACGTTATTTATATAATTTTGCTGTGTGGTATAAACTCATATACTAACATTTGTCAACAATGTACTCATAAATAAAATATTTAGAACAACGTGTATGTAGATATATGTTAATTTAATTTGTTTTGTGACTAACAACTTTTACACAACAATAAAAGACTACTTATGTTTTACAAATCAGGTTCTGATTTTATTATGTAAAAGAAAAATGCCAAATTATTTCAGGTTCCTGTACTAATTATAGATTAAGTTGTTTAATCAATTGTCACAAATCAGCAGACCACTGTTATAGCGCTAGGAATTAGAAATTAGTAAACTCACTTTGTGATATTTGAAAAGTAAAATCAAAAACCTTTAACATATGTTATAAAAGATGAGTGGTTGTGGTGACTTTTAAAGTCAAAACATATTTTTATTTCTGATTGATCTATTAATCCTTCAAGCAGTATATAAGATAACAAAGAGTACAGTTTATAAGTTGGTTCGAGATGTTATAAGGTAATAGACTCAAAGAAGATCATGATATTAGGTTCATTGGCACAGGAAAGCTGCTACAATATATAATTTCTCTGGACAGGTATTGAAAGGGTTCATGCATGCATTAGGAAAATAATACTACGTTTAATGCATTAAAATGTTAGAGGAGCGAATGTGATTATTTCTTGGGGCTGTGAATAGATGTCCCTCCTGGTATTGACAGAAAATGAATGTTGCATAGTAAAATTAACATAAACACTAAATTAGCATGCAATTAATATGCCATATAAGGTGAGGTGCAAAAATACATTTCTTTCTGCAAACATTTTGTATTAAAGTAAACAGTAAAAACACATATGAAGTTTGGATCTCCAAGTACATAAGGAATTAGATAATGTGAAATAATATCAGTCATTACACTAATTGCTGATTGCTTACTTGATTACCAAGGCATTTTCCTCTCATTTGTTCTGTGCACATTTTGATAAATATTTCTGGACTCACTTTCTATTTTATTTCTTAACTTATTTCTCCCTTCCTCAGCCTCAGGTAGGTCATTATTCCCCAGACAAGAAAGAAGCATGTTTCTAGATTTTTGATGATACAACTTTTAAGTAACTGTCTAGGAGGTGAACTAGAGTCCCAAAGGAATTGACCCACCAAACATTTTATTGACTGCAGATTAAAAAGTTCAGAACTATGAAGGGCTAAAAATGAATGCAATGCATTTAATTCTTACATGTGAGAGGTTTAATTTTTGTCTGGAGTGTGTAGTGATTGTAATGAGGTCAGCCAGGTGGAGTTCCCTGATTGGGGCAGTTAACCCGATCCAATCAGGGGGCCCTGGCTGACAGATATTAACAGGAGTGTTAGATGTTCTGTTCACTCTGAGAGCTGGCTCTGAGGAAGCAGGACCAGTGTCAAGCACGTGTAAATACAGTGTGACTTGGTGATGGGATACCGGCCTCTGTGGAGTTATTTCAGGGTGCCGCACATTTGAAAAAAACAAGTGGCAGTTTAAAAAAAGAAGTCCTCCTTCACATTCCGGACCGTGCATCACTTTCCTCTGACATTTGGGCTTGCTGTGAATGCTTAATGTACAAAATGGACACCCATGCCTACTGAGGTCAGCATAGCCATTTGAACTGAAGGTCAAAAATTAGACTTCCTTCTGCAGACCATTTTATTCTAGTGATGCAATGTTTTGAAAGCCCATTAAAAACAAGCCAGTTTTAAGAGTTTGTAAAAATGGAAAGCTGGCTGAGAAACCCAAACATTCTAAAAGGTAAGTGTAAAGTTCTTCCCCACATTCATATGTTACCATAATTGCTTAATTGTAATGTAGATGTGACTTGAATGTAGTACTTCATTATGAGGATATGGCCCTTACATTAATCCTAATATTGACTTGCCATGTGTTTTTGTTGTAGAGTGTTATATGGATTTTCCAATAGAGAAAGCACCATAATGTTATGAAACCATGTTACAAACTGCCTTGTAATTCTGTGCTGATATATTTTCTATACTAAGTTAAGTACTCTGGCTGAAAAAAACTGTTTTGATATTTGAAAGAAATCTAATCATCTGGTCCATTAACATTAATTGCTAGGCACTTTGTTTTGAAATTAAATCAACAACTGCTGTCTTTCCTTTTTAGACAGTAGCCTATTATTTGGAAAGCTGTGGTCATAATAATGCTTGGCTGAATTTCAAGTACTAATAGGTTTCAGTACTGTGGCCCTTCCATACATGACACTTTCAAGAAGTTGTAATAACAGACTGTCCATTGATATGGTTTCTGGTTTGTTGACACAAGCTAATAGGACAACAGTGTGACAACTGTGTGAATTTACAATGAGAGAATTCATTTTTTTCTCCACTTCAGAATGAGAGAGATTTACTTTTTTCCAAGAAATATATTTTTTTTCCATTGATATCACATGGAATCTGAGGTAAGTACATAGTAGATAGTGAGTAGCAACAGCGGATATGTCAAGGCATAGAGATGGCATAGATAATGTGGCAGGTTCTGGCATGGATTTGTGAATGAGGGGTGTGGGAAATAAAAGGAGATTTTAAGGGCTTTAAAATGCTTTTGGGATCTGACTTAGCTTCCCACTATATTCCATATGTAAACCAATGTGGCTCAGAAATTACACTGCAAATTTGACCCTGGTATGAAAACACAAAAATGGTACAAGAAGTCAAGAATAAATGGGTCATGTGTGCAGTTTTCAAGCTATGCAAGTGCATGGGTTGTGTTTTTCTGAGTCCAAAGGAAGATTCAGACATTGGTTTTAAATCAAAACATGCAAAAATATGATGGTCCAGTTATTATCTTTCGTAAAAGTTCTTCCTCCAAATTTTTGACTTAAACCCCTGTTGCCATACTTGTTCCTTTAACTCTGAGGGTGAACAGTAAAACTTAAACTAGCCACAATTATCATCAATATAGCTCCAAGTTACTCAAAAAATCATGCACAATAATTTACATGCGATTTGGCTGAAAACATGTAAATATGGTGTATATTGGCGGTGAAGTTGTGAGTTGTGAATTGGGCTCCAACATTTTATTGTATACACTTATGAATTTGCTTTATCTATCTGACTGCATGAGGCATCATGAATCAAACCAATGAATTAGAGACGATAAATTTTCTGTTTTAAAAATGTAGTTTGAAACACTGCTGCAACCACTTAATGTACATAGTCACAAGTCTCGGTGCACGATCACAAACACTGAAGCATAACCACAAACATGCTATGGTCAACTTTTACATGGTTTTAGTGCAAAATGAAATCAAGAACTTCCCCTGAAATAAGAGCATACAAACTCTTCTGTTTAAAAATACATTGCAGCATGCACTTCCCCACATCAAATGCAGCTGTACCTTCAAAACCCAGTGGAGTTGGGTCACTCTTTATTTCATATCTCTTAGCTTTAACATCTGGCCCAGATAGTGATCCTGTTGCAGAGGCATGAAAACATATTAAACACAGCCTAAGATAATATCTGCATAATTCATTAATTTATTATTTATTCCTTATAACAAATGAGGCAACACTAATTCAGTTAATGTAATTAGGGACGGTGTTTGATTTCTGACCTGGAGCTGGGAAAGATAATTGAACAAAATTGAACGCATTGTGCCTGATCTTTATTCCTTAGAAAAGTTTTAGCTAAGGCATTGGTTAGTGCTAGAGTGCATCTTTTTATAAGCAAAGAGCTGAAAAAGCAAATACTTTAATGTCAGCCACATAATCAGAAATATATGATCTACTCTCAAGAATTCTCTTTTGGATTCTAGCTATGGCCCCTAACATCATTGAACCATTACTATTAAAAGGAACACTTCAGTGAGGAGGAAGATCAAAGTACCATCTGGAAATTTTATTTTATCCTAAAATTCTGAAAACCTTCACTGAGGAACATCATAATTGTTCTTCATATTTGTTGTGACAATTTTTGTTTATATTTATTTCTACTCCTACTTTGCTGAATTGATGCTTATGCACCAAACCAAATGAATTGCAACGTTCTGTCACTGTCTAATGCCAGATAGACCAGGAAATTATTTTTGTCTCAAATCTAGCACAAGGAGGACTGTGCTTGCAATATGAATCACAAATTAAAGTCCAAAGTTTGGGGCTTCCAACATCATCTATATAATACCAATGAGTTTCAGTATTAATTCACAGGTAGATGGTGGACAGGCTTTGAGGAGTCAAGAGGTGAGTTACTTGCTGCAGTATTCCTAGCCTCTGACTTGCTCTTGTAGCTGCAAGGCCATTTTAAATAAATGTTAGACCTAGCTGAGATATGTTTACCAGGGAATAAGTTTCACCAATAACAGCTAGCCCTTTTTAAGGAATGAAGCATAGCAGTTTATAAATGTCACTTTTCAGACTGGTCAGGCAGGATTCCTGGCAGGTCAATTCCTGCACAACGTGCTTGGAGGTAAAAATGGCTAGCATCAGTTTCATGTTTAGCAGAATGAAGCAACACCTTCTTTACACAAAATAGGAGTAAAATACAGGATGTCAATTGATGCCACATGAACAAAACTGTAGACGGTAGATGTAAGGCTTTGACCTGCATGGTAACGTGATCATTAACATGTTTTTGGATGAGTCTGACCAGGCTAGAATAAATGTCACAGCATCTTTCATATGATTACTGTATATGAAATAGGAGCATGAACAAACGATTTTGCCCACAGAACCAGCTCTACCATACAGTAAAATCATGATTGATCTTATTGTGGGCATAGCTCCATTTTTCTGTCTGTTCCCCAAAACAGTTGACTTCTTAGTATATCAGAAATCTCTCTAAATTCGTCTTGAATATACTCAATGACCTAACCTCCACTGATTTTTGTGGAAGAGCATTACAAGGGCTAATGATTCTCTGAGAGAAGAAATTTTTCTTCATCTCCGTCTAAATGGGAAATTCCTTATTTTGAAACTGTGCATCCCACTTCTAGATTCTCCTGCCATGGGGGAAACAGTGTCTCAGAATGTACTCTGTCAAGCACCCTCAGAATCTTGTATGTTTCAATGAAGATCATCTCTCCTCTTTGTAATTCCGAACAACTTAGGCATGATCTTTTCAACTTCTCCTCATAAGAAAAAACCCTTCAATCCAGGGATCAGCGTGGTGACCCTTCTCTGAACTGCTTCCAATGCAAATGTATCCCTTCTTAAAAAAAGTAACTGAGACTGTACACATTAGTCCAGGAGATAACTCACCAGTGTCCTATACAGTTGTAGCAAGACTTTCCTACATTTATACTTGTTATATAGGTTAACATCCCATTTGCCTTCTTAACTACTTGCTGTACTTCCATGCTAATCTCTTGTGATTTGTGTACAGATCTTTCTGTACTGTTGTATTCTGCAGTTGTTGTCAATTTAAATAGTATTCTGCTTTGCTATTCTTCCTACCTAAATGGACAATCTCAAATTTTTCCACATTCTATTCCATATGCCAAATTTTTAATACATTTGTCAAAAAGTATTTTCTTCACAAAACCACAAAAGTATCATGAATCTGCCTTATTATATAATGATCTTCTAAATGTACTGCTACTAATTCCCTACAAATTTATTCTTGCATTTTCCCAATTACAAATATTAGATTAACTGGGCTATAGTTTCCTACTTTATGCTTTGCTTATTTCTTGAATAGTGAGGCTATGTTGTGGTTTTCCAATCTGCTTTAGAATCTATTTTATAAATTTTGGAAGAAGCAATGCATTTATTATCTCAGACCACATTTCCTTTAAGATCCCAGAACATTGGCCATCAGCTTCAGTGGACTTGTCAGCCTTTAGTGTTCTGAATATTTTTTCTTTAGTGATTATATTTATTTGAAATTTCTCGCTCAATGTTGCCCCTTGATTTTCTGCTACTTTTGGAATTTTTTTGTGTCTTGTAGGCAAGTGGAAAGTATTCCATCACACTCCTGATTTGTGCCTTGTAGATGAGTCAGGACATGAATTACTCATTGCAGTATTTCTAGTCTCTGACCTGCTCTTGTGGCCACACTATTTGTATGGCTACACAAACAGAAATTGCTGGAAAAGCTCAGCAGGTCTGGCAGCATCTGTGAAGAGAAATCAGAGTTAATGTTTCGGATCCAGTGACCCTTTCTCAGAACAGATGGTAACTCTGATTTCTCCTCACAAATGCTGCCAGACCTGCCAAGCTTTTTCAGCAATCTCTGTTTTTGTTTCTGATTTACAGTGTCTGTAGTTCTTTCAGTTTTTATTTGTATAGCTAGTCCATTTCAGTTTCTGATCAATAGTAACCCACAGCATGTTGATAGTGGAGGATTCAGTGGTAAAAATGCCATTGAATGTCAAGGGGTGATAGTTAGATTCCCTCTTTTTGGTGATGGTTATTGACTGGCATTTGTGTGGAATAAATATTATTTGCCACATGTCAACCCAAGATATTTTCTCAGTCTTTCTGCATTTAGTACCTGAGGAGTTTATTAACCATTTCTACCTTATTTCCTGAGTAAATTCTCACTACTTATTTCTTAGTGTCTAATCTCTGAGACATAGCTAGCAATGTATGCTATAACTGTTGCTGTGACTTGTGTGGTATGTAACTTATTTGGAAACTCAAACCAGAAGGAAAAAATCACATCACATATAAGTGGATTGTATGTCAAACTTTGCAAGTGCACGTACTGCATGATCATAAAAACGGTGAAGTGAATGGGTGTTTATCATGCCACCAGTTTCGGATGAATATATGTCTGACATAGTAACTGCTGAGTTTAGTTATAGTTTAGTTATAATGGACCTTTACTTTGTGAAGCACTGACAGAGGAAGCTAAGGAAATGCAACGAATTTTAAGCCACTTTATGGGTACTTTGAAGTGTGCAGTTCCTATGCAAGTGTGAAATACACTGATAATTGCAAAATTAGCTAGCTACAAATAAAATCACTGATAAAGCAATGTTTAAGCACTGTTCACACCAAGAACAGTAAATTTGTTTTATTCATTCGTGGGCATCACAAGCTAGGTCAGCATCTAGTGCCGTTCCTAGTTGCCCTTGAAAAGGTGGTAGCGAGCTGCTTCTTGAACTACTGCAGTCAATTTGCTGTAGGTTAGTGGGGTAATTCTAGAATTTGACCCAGCGACAATGAAGGAACAGTGATATATTTCCAAGTCAGGATGGAGAGTGGCTTGGAGGGGAAATTGCAGTTGGTGGTGTTCTCAAGTATCTACTGTCCTTGCCCTTCTAGATGGAAGTGGTTGTGGGTTGAAAGGTGCTGTCCCAGGATCTTTGGTGAATTTCTGCAGTACATCTTGTAGATAGTACACACTGCTCAAATTAATAGATACTTCAAATTTGACGCTCCGTATCAAGATTGTATTGGGTTAACAATCTAAGCCCAGGAAAACATTGGAGTGCCACAATCTGTTTCAGAAGAAAATGAAAAATCTGATGACATTCTCTGTCATTTAGGCTCATACATAAGCAGGGTCACTTATCTTAGATAATGCAAGGTTCCTAACACCTATGGAACTATATCTGAGTATTGGTCAGAACTTTTAGGATAGCAGAGAAAATGGAAGCAAACAGGAAAGTAAATTAAAACATATGTGAATGCAGAGTGAAATTTATTGCGTACAGCAACCTGAATATTGCTAGATTAAATGCACATGTTAATAGAAGTTTTCAATTATTCTCCTCTGGAAATTAAACCAATAACGTGATGTATGAAGCCCTAACTTCATTTTGTGGAAATCATATACTGAACAGAATTGCATTAAATTTTGTCCAATAATTGGAAAATACATACTTTATTAGAATTTTTTCTAATATTTTTAATAACTATTTAAATTTTTTTCTTCTGAGTATGTTTTGTGCATCCAACTCCAATTAAAGGATGACACATTCAAAGAATGGTTACAACACAGAAGGAGAGCATTCAGCATGTCAAATCTGTGCTGGCTAATGTCGTGGGGTATGACTCAGGATAACACATAGCTAACAGCACTTTTTGTCACTGACAGATGAGAGATCCAATTTAGTTGGATTGAAACGCACAATAATGATGTCCCTTACAGCACAGGTACCTTATGGATAATTTCTGTTCATCCACCAGCTAACAAACAAACAATGAGACTGCCAATTGTATTAGTTGAATTGGAATGGCAGAAACTAGAATACTATCCTTGAAGTCTGGTTAGCTCAAGGTGATATCTTACTAATTGTAATATGGATTTAATAAGGCAGATTCCTCCAATGTAAATAAGGAATTCAAGTTCTCTACAGTGATATATACAGGGCTTTCGAGGTACAATTTACCCTATCGTTACAATCAAATTTATTCAAAACTGGGAACAGAGCAGAGTGGAATGGTAATTATAATGTACCTTTACTTCGTGAAGCACTGACAGAGGAAGCTAAGGAAATGCGACGAATTACAGTTGGCTCCTTAGACTGTGATTCTGGGAATACAGAAAATCAATGCACGCAAAGATTAGGAAAGAAACCAGGAGAAGAAGCAGAAAAATAGTGGTCAAACACTGGTCAGATAACAGCATATAAAACCAGAATGCTCTGCTTGTAATCCTTTATACAGTTAATTTACAAAATAGTATCTTAAAAATATTTTTATTTTCTCAAGCATATACTGTCTTTTTAAAAAATATGTACTTTATGACTTTTTTCTATCATTTGAAATCATTGAATTATTCAGATCTTGTACTTTTTTTTAAGCTTGCTTTAATGGAATTGAATACAGTTGAATTGTATTTACACAGCAAAGTAATGGATACAACTGGAAATGCTATTTGCAAGCTTTAGACACTTCATACCAACTACACTGAATGATCAGAAATGTTTTTCCATTAAATAAAGAAAACAATAGGTGGAGTCATTAAAAATGATGGCGAGCATTATGTAGAAAATACACAAGTGAGAGCAATAGAATAAATCCACTGTTCTCCACTGTGAATGTTGTGTATATATTATGGACGAGTATAATGAAATTATTATGTGTAAGCATATATGCACACATTTTTATGCATATATTTTTATGCAATAATCTATTTACTTTGTATTCAGTGTAAATAATGAGTAATTTAAATTTTAGCAAGCTGTTTCTTGCTTCTTCTTGGAGACTTATGAAACCCATTTTTAAAAATGATTCATGATTTCAGTTCCAAATATTACCAGGAAGTTGTGGATTTATGTTAACAAAATATTAAAAATAGCCTGTCTTAAATTCTTACTGTGCAAAATACAGAAGACAATATAGCATCTGAATACAGTACAGCTGTAGCTACATGGTGTTCAAGAGGGAAGTGTAGCTGTCCTTTTCATATGGGTGGATAATTAGTGACAGGTCTTGTGAACAGTGATAGTGGGTTCAGTGAATCTGTACTGAAAACAAAAAATGCTGGAGGTCACAGCAGGTCAGGCAGCATCCACGGAGAGAAAGCAAGCTAACGTTTTGAGTCTCTGATGAAGAGTCATCTAGACTCGAAACATTAAATTCTGCTCCAGTACTGGTACATTCATAACATGGCCAAACAGGGTGTAATTCCTTTAAGTTGGTCATAGGGAATTCAAATCTCCTGTTCAAAGTGATCAGCCTCAATAGGGATCATTACACACTAGTATTAGTGCAAATGTGAACTAGCAGATGCTGCAACTATCGCATGATCCAGTGAAAGGAGCCAAATGGATCAAATTTCCTGGCTACAGTTACCATCACCGTTATTGGAAATAGCATATTTGGCATGCTATGAGGCTGCAGTTATGGTTACAGCAGGTGGCAAATTTCAGTGATGAACCCTCAATGACATCAGATACCCAATTCTATTGAGGTTGAGGGAGAAGAATTTCACCTTGGACTGTCTGACAGCTACAACTTTCTGCTGAAAGCTCTTCCTGCTTCAACAGGTTGCCTTGCTCTGAGTCACCTTTTCTCATTCTCCCTGCCATGCTGTCATCAAAGAAGATGCAAACCACTGCAGGGTCGAATATTGTTCAATGTGTAACACTGATTTGATGTCAGCCATGCCATTTTAAAGCTCAAGGCTCCAAGTAATGCTGTCCCAACTTTGTACAGATAAACATGCATTGGATGAAATGTTATGGCCCTCCTGGGAGACGTCATTGCCTACATGACTCTGCTGGTATTTTCTCAGCTGCAAGAGAGTGGTTGGAGGTCTCCGCCATCCTTGGGTCAATAGACACCCTTTGGTGGCCTTCAAAGTCTCCTTCCACTGTCAGAGCGGTGTTAAGCCGTGTGACTGTGGCACAGTGAAGAATTGTTCCTTGTTGTCAACCTTACCCAAGTTTCTGCCTTAATGTCTTTTCTCTACTAGTCAACCTTACTCAAGTTTCTGCCTTAATGTCTCTTCTTTGCTATTCAGCCCCATGGGATGCACCTACATGGCTCCATTCCCAACTGTTTGAACACACTCAATACCTTTCCAGCTATAGCTTACTTTCTTTGATGCAATATCTATTCTTGGTTCTTAACCTTCCTTGTCACTAACATTTAGCAACATTGTCAACAAGTAAGTGTTCAACCTCCACATAGAATCATAGAATAATTACAATGCAGGAGAACATTCATCCCATTTTATCACTATAGACTCTGCAGTAACAACTCTACCTGGCCTACTCAACTGGGGTAAATGTGAATGTGAAGTAATTAAATCAGCCATGATCTTATTAAGCAGCCTACTTCTGCTCCTAATTCATATGGCTGTATGTTCTTCTTCGGATGTTTATCCAATTCCCTTTTGTAAACCACTGTAGGACCTGCATCCATCACACTCAGACAAATGCATTCCAGATGTTGAACACTCAAATTCTCGCCTGTTTCTTTTATGGATCACCTTAAATCTCCGTTCTCTGATTCTCAATATTCCTGCCAAAGGGAAGTTTCCCTGTATCTACTCTGTCAAGAATTCTCATGATTTTCAATGCATCTATCAAATCTCCTCTCAATCTTCTATTTTCCATAAAGTGCCATGTCCAGAATTGGACAACATATTCAAGTTGATACTAAAGCAATTGGTAATAAAGATGTGTTATAACTACCTTGCTTTTGTGCTCTAAGTTTCAACTTATAAAGTCTAAAATCCTGCATGCCTTTTGAAAACATTTGCTCAATCTGTCCTTCCACCTTCACTAAATTATGCACATAATCTCTCTGTTCCTGTTCCTCCTCAGAATTATATCCTTCATTTCAGACTGTCTCTTCTCATTCTTCCTACCAAAATGTATCATTTCACACTGTCCTGCATTAAATTTCATTGACCATAGATACTCCTATTCCACCAACCTTTCTACATCCTTTTGAAGTCTATCATTATTCTCATAGGGTATGATACTTCCAAGTTTTGTGTCATCTCAAATTTTGAAATTGTGCTTTGCTTACTTGAGTCTGACCTGCCTACTTGCCACGTTTCTAAGAGTGGAAGGCTATTACACCAAAAAGAAACCTGCCAAAGAAATGGCTCAGGATGAAGAATCAACAGATAATAATCCAAAAGGATGTGTCTTTGAGCAGAGTATGCATTAAGGGATGAATGGCATCTAGGTTTGTCATTCATATATAAGATCTCAGTTAACACCATTGTATACCTGCTTCCAGTCTGAAAAATAACCATTCACCACAATTCTGCTCCTAGTCAGTCAGCCAGCTTTGTTTCCATGTTGCTGCTGTCCTTTTTAACCCAGGTTTCAACGTTACTGACAAAGCCTGTCATGTGTAATTTATTAAATGCTTTTGAAAGCTTTTGTCCAATAAATCAACTACCTCTATTACTTCAATAAAATACTCAGTCACATTAGTGAAATATGATTTGTCTTTAATATGTCCTTGCTGATTTTTCTTAATTAATCTACACTTCTCCAAGTGATTAAAACCAGAGTCTTCAACCCCAGCTAAAAGATTGACTCCCTTACCATTAACTCCATTGAATTGCCCAGCTACAAGGTGGAAAATTCCAAATCCAAAATACTCTGGAAATTTTAGAATAGTGAGTGTAGGAACTTAATGGGGTGGGGGAGCAGGCACAAAATCAATTTCTGAGTTAAGATTTTGGTATTAATTTCTTAGAACCTTTCAGGCAGGTGCGATGCTTTCCAACTCTGCTAGTTAGGAGCATTATTTCTATGCATAAACATGCCATGAATACTCATTAATAAATTATCCTGCTGAAATTCTGTTCTTGAATGCAATCCTGCTGGACAAAAATGAGCAACACATGATGACAAATACTATTGTATGCATGAGGCATGTATCTACTGGGGTTGAAATTTTCCTGCAAGCTCTGGTGAGTATAAACCTCTTCAGCAACTTTAGTCCTTCATAAGCAGAACATTTCTTTGTGCAAATGCTGACTGACAGTGCTAGGGTTGAGGCCTGACTGGGTCAACCAGCTCACGAGAAGTATCAGTCATATGCAGTTTTGTCTGTTGTTCTTAAACACTTACAATGCAAAGTGTGAAGTCTCACTGGGTCAACCAACTGATGAGAAATTCTATCTGGTCCTATGTGGTTTTTCTTGATGTTCATAATGTTTACAGTGTAAAGGGGAAAGCCTGATCAGGTCAACAAGCCTGCCCAAGCGAGACATCCACGTTAGCTGATGTCAGGAAACCTTAGTGGGGCAGGTAAGTGAGGTGTAACACAAAAAGGGGCTGCACTCAAAATAGTCACTATATAGGGCTACCTAGAAAGCAATCATAGGGAATGCAGCTTAAAGGATGTGGTTATCAGGGGCACTGGAAGAATCTTGGGAAAAGGAGGGAGGACACTGGATGCTGAGGGAAGATCACAGTAATGAGGCAAGGAGGACAAGGGAGATTTGGAACTGCATATTTAGGATGGGGAACAAAATGGGTTGCTTGGGTATATTATGGAGGATGAAAGAGCAGGTGAATTGAATAAGGGGCAATGAGAGTCTAAGGCTGGGCATGAGAATTTGGATAGGAATGGAATCAGGGATAGAGCAAGAATATCAAGGGAGATAATGAAAGTATGATGGGGGTGGGGAAGGTGAAGTGTAAAGGGAGAGGGTAAAGGATGAATAAATCAAATGAACAAACATACAACTACCAGCTCCATCTTTAATGATCTTGCAAAAGAAGACTCGTAAAGAATGTGCGTACAAATGAGATGGCCCAAGATTTGTTTGTGTGTGTTTCTTGACAATGCGAACAGACCCAAGTGAGGAAACTGAAACATAAATTTAAAAAATAGGATAGCACAAGCACTCAGTTATGGCATTAGCACTAAAGGGTAGCAGAATTAAGGAGAATAAACTTGATTAATTGCTAATATCAACATTCAAATTATGTCTCATGATTTATTTAACTTTGAGAAGAAGGTGATCTAAGACTCACCAATGGTGCTGATAGTGTTGAGGGGGAGTTTATTCCAGATTAGGCTTGTTTACTTGAAAATGAAAGACATGGGGAT